TGCCCGCCTCACTGCGTATGCGTGACAGGTCCGTGAAAGGGGTCGCGCAGTGCCTCCCCCCTCCCGCCCCATCGCAGCGCTTTCTGGTGGAGTTCCCTCGTGCGTCCAGGTGCCAGTCATGCGAGGCGTCAACGCATCCAGTTTGCTGAGCCAGAGGGAAGATCTGCCCGCTGGCCGGGCTTCATCGCGACCTCCGCCTGCCGCATCCGAAGCAGAGCGCGCTTCGAATCCAGCGCTCTCTCACTCGCGCCGCAGGTGGATTCGCCCTCGACTCGGAAGGAAGGAAGGAAGGAACGAACGAACCCTGCAAAGAGCGGGCAACTTCCGTGCAAACTGGCGCAGCCTGGCTAGTTCCTAGAGGAAATGTCCCGTGGGCGCCCCAAGCCATTCGTTTCCATAGCACTTATCCTGGAGTCGTTTCCTTATAAGCCAGAAAAGAACAGGGAAACGACAACCCTGCGCAGGGAAAGCGGGTGGGATTTAAATCCCAGAAAGCGCTTGAACACCCTTTTGCTCTCTGCCCAGCCTTCTGTTCCCAAGTGCTCCGGGAGAAGCAGCTATCGGACTGTTCCTAGACGTAACCTGCATATAGGCCCTAAATCCGTAGGCGACACAGAAGGCCGGTGAATACCAACATCGCCCAAGCCAGCCGCTGGCCATTTAGCCAATTTCCCGACTCTTCTAAGCAGCCCTTCACTATTTAAATTTTCTTTTATTCTTTTTTCCTTTCCTCCCATCCCGCTTTCCCCATTCCTATATAGGTCCATGCTGGTTACTTTCCCCTCCATTATTCGGAATGGGGGACAAGAGTAATTCAGCAGCTCTGTTTAACCCCCTTCCGTAGTGAAGCCTTCAAATCAAAGTGAAGGGCTTCCAAAGCAGCTTTTCTTCTGCCTATAAAGCTTAACAGTTTTCCTGTGCTGCATAGTGGCCTTTTTTATCCTTGCATTCCTAAGAGGAGCACCTTACTTTCCTAAGAAGGCCACCTTCTTCCTCAAAGTAAGGTTTTCAATAGGTCTTGTCCAAAGGAAATATTAAGAAGATCTTTCCAACATAGATCTTAGGCACTGGGTGTCAGACTGTAAAAAGAAGCAGGGAATAAAAGAAATTAACATGGAATATCATTTTTGTGTTCTCTTAATTCTGGGCAAGGGTGCTACTAGATATTGGAAGACCGTGGGCTCCAGTCCAGAACACCAAACAACAAGCAAGCAAAAAATGCATAGATTTGCATATGCTAATACACATATATTCTCAAGTCTATGTGTGTTTTTTTAAAGAATTTGTCTCCTAAGGATGCTCCTATTTGTAAAAAGGGATTTGTGGAAAGGGGAGAAGAGGGCATTTTATTTTAGTGGTGGGGAACAATCTCTGGCAGAAGAATCCCGAGAACAGGAGAAGGTGAAGCACCAGTGGGCAAAAAGTCAGCTAATCCAGGAGGATTGGATGCAACAGAGATCATCCATAAAGGCCCTTGGCCTTTATTTGAGCAAGTGTCCCTGGGCAGCAGGATGCTGAATGGTGCCAGGAGAAAGGGCAGGAGATGTGCATCTGTTTCCCTGAGTCTCACTTTCTGCATTCTAATCCTGGCAGCATCGTGTGTCACTACAGGGTGATCAGCTCCTTGTCATTGGTGTGGACTTTATAGCCAAGAGGCTGAGCATAAGTTACAACTGTCCTTAATGCACACTCTTAGTGCCATTGGCCCCATTTCATAGTTCAGATGGGGCAGGTGCCACTTTTGTGCAGGACCAATGAAATAAATCCCCCTTCTTATGTCACCAGCTAAAGCACCTAGGACCTCATTCCCTGTTACTTGGCTCATTGGAGAGTGACTTCAATCAATCAGCAGCCAGAAAAGTGTGTTACTCTTGCAAATGATACATGTGTACCCTGCAGAACTTATGGGGCCAAGTGGATTTTTGTATGTTTTGGATAGGGAGATAATGGGTTCCTCTGAAAAGCCCAGCTGCATTTTTATTTATTTGCAAAAGGAACGGGGAGGGGATAAATCTGAGGGTTGTAACAGATGCCTTGCATTCAGTTCTACATACCCAAACTGGGAAATTTAAATATCTGTTATTCAAAAACAGGGCTTCCGAATTTGGAATCTTTCGGGTGACTTGGCTTTAGATTTTTCTGTAAGGGTGACAAACTTTCTCCCCATGCTCGTTTCTGAACTGCTTGGATTGGATTGCTCCTGGAGTCACCCTTCGTTTAAAAATAAAGTTTTAGGGAGATTAAATAACATGTCTCCATGCTTTGCCCTTCTTTTCAGGAGACTGGAAATCTGGAGTACTCTCAATTTCCTGAAATATTATTTTCTGAGGATCATTGGTGGACTTTTTTCTGTGTATTGAAAGATACAGAGGAATAAAATGTAACATTTGACATGTAGATCTTGATGGTGTAGCAGAAACATTTGAGAATCGTCAAAGCAATTAGAAAAAGGCCAAAGCTTCCTCTACTGCAGGAACCTGGAAAAGAAAAAAAAGAGAAAAACATCACCACCACCGTTATTTATTGCCACCCATTTAATTTCCATAGAGGAGTTCCCGTGACTAGCGGTGAATTGATTTTGGAGAAAGGGAAACAAGCAAACAAATCGCCTGTTCTTTCCCAGGGAGGTGAAGGAAAAGGCAAGATCCAAAGGTGAACATCGAATCGAATTAGCCATAGAAGCAAGGATTAACATCCCCAAAGGGAAGGGCAAGTGACACCGAAGGAGACCAGTAGCTTTCAGTGCGTCTCCTTTCTGTATAAAACTGCATCCACAGCACACTTCCTCGGGAGTGTGTCTCTTTGAAATCCACCGGGCTTGGCTGTAGAGGAAAATCCATACGATGAGTTGTGTGTGCAAAGAGCAAAGAATGTGACGATCTGAATTTATGCGGATAATCTCTTCTTAAGATGAAAGAACCAGTCAAATAAATGGGCCCCACTGAATTTCATCCACTGCCACCTGGTCCTCCACTTTCATCCCAGACTCCTCTCTTCAGATCTATGGAACTTTCCCTCCAAGAGGATGAGTGGGCGCAGCCCTCCATCCTTCACTTCGCGAATGCTTCACTGAACTTGAACGCGAGCAAACTCGTGGACTGCTGCGTGGACCGAGGATTGTTTGATTAGAAAAATTCTTTCTAATCCGTTCTAAAACCTGGGGGGGGGGGGCAGTACCTTCCGGGACCTTATTTGTAATAGAACAGGGAGGGGAGCAAGGATGATGGCGAGGATGATGGTGGTGGTGGTGGTGGTGGTGGTTTTCTCCTCGCATGAAGTTTATGCCTCTCTGCTGAAAAGTAGCTACACTCCTCATCTTTAAGGAGCCGCAGGGCTCTTCCTTGACAGCCACCGGGTTTACACTGCAGCAGCCCGCGAGAGACGGATGGTTTCGACTCGGACCCCTGCGAATGACACAGCTGCTTCCACGCCGCCGCCGCCGCCACCCGCGCGCATGACATCACGCCGCCGCTGACCCAGTGCCCAAGCAACGGGCGGCTGATTCGCTTGGGCGGGAGGTGAGGGCTATCGAGAGCTGAGGGAGGCAGCGAGGTGGGCTGAGCGGAGGGAAGGAGGGAGGGAGGGAGGGGACCCATCCCGCCCGGCTGTTAATTTGCGAGCAAGGAGGCCAAGTGAACCGGTGCCTGGCGCTGCCGCCGCGGCGGAAAGGGTCACCCACCCATGGTGAGGCAGCCGGAGCGCTGCGCCACGGCTCACGTCGCCCCGTGGCGACCGGTGGCCCCAGCACTCGAGCGGGAGTTTGAGGCGCAAGAACACGCCTGGATCCGGCCACAGAACTGACTCGGACACGGCAAGGGCTCTCGCTCTGCCTGGGAGGCTTCGCTTGCACCCGCGCCATCGCCCAGCTCATGCCCGCCCGTTGCGCCGAGGAGATGCCGCACCAGAGTCCCTTCCTGGGACTCGGCCCAGATAGGCACCCGCGAAACTCCCGGCCGTCGCCACTCGGAAGTCCCGGGGCTTCGCTTCCGGAAGTGAGCCGCTTTAGGATCGCAGCCTGGGGCTTACTAAGGCAGGCGGGCGGGCGGCGTGGAAGAAGACGGGGCTCACGCGCCTTTGTCTCGACTGCGCGCTGGTGAAGGGTATCCGCGCGGCGCAGCTGGATCCCAGCCGTGCTGCCTTGACACGTATCTCCCCGGAACCCGCTAGCAGCGGCAAGCGAATCGTTCAGCGATCGCAAATCGCAACCTACTTGCGCCTCGGCTGTGCGAATGTGTTTGAATAAGACTCGGAAAGAGACTCCAGTGAGAGAAATAAGTCCTGCTTCCGCGTAAAGCAAGTGAGGCTGGGGCGGGATGGGAAGTCATTTCTACGGGTCTGAGCGAAATTGGCCTCGGTGGAAGCGCGCTGAAGATCGCAGCCTCGGAAGGAAACGTTTGTGGATGCCTCAAGCCCGCGAGAGAGCGGCGCGCTTCGCTCGCCCGCCCCGCTTTCCAAACGGCGGCGGCCTCTTTTAACACCTACATCACATGAGAGGAACCGGAGGGCTTGGGAAGGGGGCTTCCTCAGATCACTGGCTAACGGTCTGGGAAGCGATGGAGAGGAGAAGGGAGGGGAGGGGGAAGCGGAAACTTTCGTCTAAACCTCGGCAAAGTCCCTCCTCTCCACGTCAGGCCAATGACACCGCTGCCCCCAAACTTTCCGCCAGCAGGAGCTATAAGAGCGTCCCAGGCTGCAACTTTCGCCCAACTCCCAGCCAGCTCCAAGGAGCCATCGGGAGGGAAGCCGTCGTCGCCAGAGAGATTTCCTCCGCCTCCTCCTTCGCCGCCACGCCGCCGCCGTCTTCTTTCTCTCTCGGGGCGGCCGATGGCCTCCACCCACCCACCCAACTGAGGTCCACCCCACCCCATCCCACCCCCTGGTCCTCCTCCTTCTCCTGGGCAGGCCAAGGATCCAGCCAGGGGGAGCTGGCTGGCTAGGCATCCCCCGCTCCCTCGCCCCCTCCAAAGGGCCGCTCGGCGCGCTTCGGGTTGGCCCCCGAGATGATGCAGCAGGACGAGTCGAACTCTCCAGTCTCGCCCGCCGACGACAGCCTGAGCAACAGCGAGGAGGAGCCCGACCGGCAGCAGCAGCAGCTTCAGGGCGGCGGTAAGCGAGGGGGACGCAAGAGGAGATCGAGCCGCAGGAGCGTCGCCGGGGCCGGCGCAGGAGGAGCCGGCGCGGGGATCGGCTCTGCGGAGGAGCCGTGCAGCCCGGCGCAGGGCAAGCGGGGCAAGAAATCCGGCGGCGGAGGCGGGGGCAGCGGCGGCGGCGGCGGCGGCAGCAGCAGCGGCGGGGGCAGCCCGCAGTCGTACGAGGAGCTCCAGACGCAGCGGGTGATGGCCAACGTCCGGGAGCGGCAGCGCACGCAGTCGCTGAACGAAGCCTTCGCGGCGCTGCGCAAGATCATCCCGACCCTGCCGTCGGATAAGCTGAGTAAGATCCAGACGCTCAAGCTGGCCGCCCGCTACATCGACTTCCTCTACCAGGTCCTGCAGAGCGACGAGCTCGACTCCAAGATGGCCAGCTGCAGCTATGTGGCCCACGAGCGCCTCAGCTACGCCTTCTCCGTCTGGCGCATGGAGGGCGCCTGGTCCATGTCCGCCTCCCACTAGCGTCCCGCGTCGCCTGGCTCGGCCGGAGGAGACCTAGGTAAGGAGGGAGGCACGTGGCGGAGCGCGGGTGGGGAGCGGATCCGTGGAGGCCCGAAGCCCCGCTCTGCCTTCGCAGCAGGCCCGGCGGGCTGCCTCGACCTTCCTTGCTCCTAACCTTCCAGCCTCTTCTCTCGATGGAGAAAGGAAAGGGGGGGGGTGCCAGGAATTCGACGCAGCGGCACCCACCCGAGATCTTGCTGCTGGCATGCTGCAAATCCAGTTCCATGGGGCGACTTCCATGGGTGCTTCTCCCCAGAGGTCTCCAAGAGGTTTCTTCTTCGAGAGGAAGCTCTCCCATCTCTGTCCGAAAGACCCCACGGACTTTTAACACACTGACTTGTTGTAAAATGAGACTCAAGGAAGGACGTGCAGGATCCATGGGATCCTTTCTGGTGGATGGGGTGGGGCAGCGAGAGGGAGAACCTCCGGGGATCCCCTCGAACGGGTGAGGACTACCAACCAATTTGGTATCTCCTGCTTCCTCCTGAGAAAGTCCTTCTGAATTCTGCAGCAGACGCACTTCTTGAGGATTACAGGAGGGTGTAGGGGACTGGAGAGAAGGAGTCCATCAAAGAATATCCTCCTCTCTCCTTCCCCCCCTCCAGAGGATGGAGGCCTTACCTCCGGGGAAGCCCACTCAGGATCCAGTAGTCCATCTGATATGCACTCATCCAGTTGCAAAGGAATGGATGCCATGCGCCGCCAAGAAAGCCTGGCCCATAGAAGCCAGCCTCTCCTCCAAGTCCTTGGCTGGCTCCTGGGTTCTAGAGGTGTCTACAAATGTATTTTGAAGGCCACTTAAGCTACACTCGCCTTTCTTCCCCATCTGAAGGCATGTCCCTCCCAGCCGTTTGCTCTGCATCCTCTGACTCCTATTTTGAAGTTTTACATGGACTTTAACGGGCCTCCTTGGATTGCCTCTTTAGGATAACCTTCCACTGAAAACCAGGAAGGGAGCTCTGCAATGCAGCCAAAAAAAGACCCTTTAATCCCAAATCAAGAAGCCCTCCGCCTCTCTCGGAAGTCTTACTAGATTTGCCATCCAAAATGTAAATGGCTCATCCATATTAAACTGGAAATGAGTCCCCTTCACTTTGGGGAGAGAGCAGGGCTTGCATCCGAAGTCAAGTCAACCTCAGGAGTAATTTCCATGAAAGAGATCAAGCCGTTAATTAGGAAGAAAGAAACAGGATTTCCTTGTGTGCCCGCATGTGTTCGAGTGTATAAACACCGAAGGAGAGAAAGGGATGCTAAACATATTTTCTCTCAGAGGTACCCTTTGGACTTTGTGAAACCTAGTATCATGGTTCACAGTAGAGCCAGCCAGTAATAACAGAACATCGTAAAAGCATCTACTTTAAAGATATGTTTGCTTAAGTTTTGCTGTGGTATTCGGGCAGTTTAGCCTGGGGTCCCACCAAAATCTTGTGGACTTCCCCAGTGTACCCAGCTGGGAATTCCTGTTGATTTCGATGGTGGCCCTTCCTAAGGCAACAGCAATTTTAAAGCAAAGCACAGTTGTACGTTGAGGCGGAGAGGCCGATTTACACATTTGTTCATCCCCGACTAGAAAATTCACATGGATTCCCGTGGGATAGGCTTACCCGAGGTTTGATGGAGGTTGCGACACCAGGCTGCATGATTTATTTGCTAGGATTCCTAGGCTACTTGGACATAACTCCTCAAATCTAACCAATCAGTGGCTTATGAGAAACTTACTTGGGTTGCCAAAGCAGTCTACTGAGTAATGATTCATGCAAATGCTTATTTAGGCTGCAATTCTATACCCGCTGACCTGGGAATTCTCCCCACTGAACTCCGTGGGACTTACTTCCAAGTAGACATGTCTAGGATTGCATTGTTAGGGTCCTGGGGCCCTCCTACTTTGTTTTTTAGGAAACATAATGAGAACCCTACAATTAATGTCCAGTAGCGTGTTTTACCATTGGCTGCTGCATGAATAAATCACGTGGATTTCAGTGAGATTTTGCTGCCAAATTTAGTATAGCAGCTAGATCCATACTGGTTTGCTTGGAAGTAAGTCACACTGTGTTCAATGGGGGCTACTCCCAAACACTCACCTCCTATGGAAACCTATATTTATATTGGTGGCACCAATATGCCATGATTCTTTCTAAGTGAATGTGCACTTCTGTCTTATTGCAGTGATCCTTTGCATGCTTACCTGGGAAAAAGCCCCACTGAAAGCAGAACTTTGCTCCAAGTAAACACCCATAAGATTAAGTTGTAAAGCCATTCACTTGGAACAAAACGAAGGCTCACTGATTTTGAATAGACTTGGTTGGGTCCTTACTGGTAGAACCCAACTATTATGAGCACAGGCAGGATTACTGGACTTGCATGGCTCTGGGATAATCATCTGCTATTTTTAATTTTAAAAAGGGAAGAAGAAAATGAATTGCCCAAGAAGTGCCATGTGGGTTTCTAGGAAGGCGTCTTTACTTCTGGACTCTAAGCTGTAATGTTAGGGAGGAGACTCTTTCTCCAGAATAAAGTTGTTGGATGCGGAGTTAGTCATGTGCCTGCAACAAACTATAGACATCAATAGACAAACTTAATATGACTAACTTTAACTGAATGTGACTTGCTCTGGATCCAACCCCAGCTGTATCCAATTGTGCTACAAGTCTCCTGACTTCTGGCCTAACCTACAGTTCTTGAATCAAGTCCTGATGCAATGAAGACAATCACGTGGACTGGAAGTGCATTCCTTAGAAACTTCTGAAGTCATGCTGTGCAGCAATGGGGTAGAGGGCAGTGTGGAAAGCTGGGTCCAAAGAATCACAGGAGTAAGGGCCTAAAGCCCAATCCTGTGCAACTTTCCTAAGAGGTCAACCCTACTTAAAGTGCTTATGGATCCCTAGACAGCTTAGGGCTGCAGACTTCTGCATACTCAAGAGTCAACCTTCCTGTGAAGACACTGAGACATTTTTGTGTACACATGTATCGCTTCCGGTTGCATGGCCACAGGAACATCCTCAGGAGCAGTTTCTATCCTTTGGGCAGGGCTGAAACATGCCTAGGACATGGGGAAAAGACTGGGTTGTAGCCAATGGGAGTATAACTTAAGTCCCAGTCATTTCAGTGGGACTTCTCTGAGCAGAACTAACATTGGCACCAGCCTTACCCTCTGCCAGGCAGCCTGACCTCCTACCCTCATCAGCTCTTCTTTGAAGTTAGTACGGGCTTTCTTCCAAGGAACTGTGATCAGGATCAAGGCCTTAAGCAATCATTTTATTGCACTGTTGTGTGTTTTTTGTAGTCTCCTTGAATTGCAATGGGTACGCTACTGTGCTGTGAGGGTTGTGATGGGAGCCTTCACTGACTGAGAGAGGAGTGAGCAAAGGTTAGCAGCTTAAGTGTTGCATGGAGGGGCCACAGCAGCAGAACTACAATGGACAGAGGGAAGTGTCTGGATTCTGGGCTTCTTTCACCTCTGGCAAGATGGGCAAGGAATGAGGTTCCCGAACCAGGGATGCTCTTGTCCTCTGGGCCAAGCTTGCCTCTGTTGCTGCAGATTAGGCAGGCACGGGAAGAGAAAACTGGTGACCCCCAAGCCTGCAACACAAAGCAAGATAACCCAGTCTTGGGTGCCTTTTTCCATCTCCGTGTGTACAAGCACAGAGGCAGCCAATGGGGAGACTAACTTAGATATCAGCCTTGAGAAGGCTGGGGCCTGATCCACCCCTGCCCCTCACTCCTTAGCATGCTGGATTCAAATGTAGCTGATTCCCACTCAGACTCCCAACAGTGAAAGTGGTTCAGAGGTGGAATAGATTGCCTTGCAAGTGGTGGGCTGGTTTTAATTCTTGCCTGAAAGTATTTCAGCAGGAACTGCAAGGCCATCTCTCAGGGGATGCTAGGAAGAGACTTCCTTGGAAGTAAGTTACCTGAGATACAGTGGGACTCCTTTACCAAATTACTGTGCGGCCATTCCATGTGGGATATGTGTCCCCCATGGACTAGATCCGCCTAGATATCTGAGGCGCTTCCCTTTGCACATTTCCTCATTTCATGCCTTGCCATCTTTCTCCTCCTCCTTCCTTTGTGCTTTAACCCTCCTCCCCAGTGCACATACCATAGTACACATGCAAGCAAGAAACATGGGTTTGAAGCAAGCATCATAAAGTGTTTCGAAAGGATGCGATTTCATATGCATGAAAAGATGCACACACTTCTCTCCCTCTTTAATAATATATTTAAGTTTCCACTTCCAGTAACAGTTTCCTCCTCCTTTCTCTCTCTGGGTTTTTGCAGATGACATTGTTCCCAAAGGAAGAGAGAAAATGGACAATCTAGAGACTCTGCACTTGGATCCCCCACACACACTTTTTCCCTAAGACAATATAACGCCAAGGATTTTCTTGGAAATTTAGAAGCGTTCTTGGCTAAGGTTGCAAAGAGCAGGGTGTGGGGAGAACATTTGAAGCGAGAGACCCAGGGGCCCCTCGGATGGTGAGGTTGCTGATCCAGAGAAAAGGCTGAATGGCCTGCCAGACATCTCTGCATTCTGATAGAAATCTGAACCGGTTTATTTTTATTTTTCTATTTTGACGAAGAATGTTGGAATTTAACCTTTTTTCCCCCCCTTACTTCCTTTTTCCCCCCTCATTCTTGCATGCATGCATTCCCATGAGCCACTCATGAAAGGAAATACGTTACTGTGGACTCCCCCCACCCTTCGTTTCTGAACAGATCTAATGATGACAAAATCGAAAATACCCAGTTTAGAATGGGTGAGCAAGGAAAATCTATTTAAAAAGTGTTTAGGCTAGCAAAATATTATTGGCTCAACCTCTTATACACAAGCCTATCTGGTATTTCTTTCATTTTTTGTTTTGTTTTGATTTTAATAATTCTTCCTGAAAAATGGAAGGGGGGGGAAATGAAACATTTTATTTATTTATTGATGACCCATGTTAAAATGCAAATAGATCCGGTGTCTAAATGCATTCCTATTTTTATGATTGTTTTGTAAATATCATTGTATATTTTTTCTGCAATAAATAAATTGAAATGTTAAAGAATTTTAAAGTTTGGTCTGTATGGAGGAAAGCAGGTTTGCAATGCAAGGTAAATAATCCTCAACTGGGTAGATCTGACGTTACCCAGGAGAGGTGAGGACGAGGGTCGGAAGGGGGGGGAATATAAACAAACAAGGGAAAAACGCAAATAAACTGGCTACTGACAGACACAGGAGTGTTAATTATCGAGACAGCTTTATGATTCTCTTTGGGAGTTTGCTCTACAGAATCTCTGTCTTTCAATCAAAATGGTCAAATACACAGCTTTAAAAAAATATATATATGAGAAAGGTGGTGAAATCGTTTGTTTGCTCTTAATCCTCCGATCTAAATTAATGGCCCTTCTTCAGTCTGGATGTGATTTCCAGACTGCTGCGCCTCTTGCTATCTCAAGACAGATGCTGATGGTTCCTGGTGGGTCTATATTTTGTGTGTGTGCATGCGTGGAATGGGGTGGGGGGAGACAGCAGTGGCTATAAACTAGATACATAGCGAGTTTTGTTTTTAAAAAGAAGGAAAATTTTTAGAGAGAAAGAATGAAAATTTTCAGAATCCAAAGGATTTTCCTGGCACCTAGTTCCTCAGATAAGTTTGCTGGGCTTCACAATAAATGGAAGAGATCTGCAGTCTGCTGAATCTTTGGGTTGGTGAGCAATAAGCGACAGCCTTGCAGTCCAGTCCTGTCCTGATCGCATTGCATGTCTATCTTGAAATAAGACCTATTGAGCTCAATGGGGTTGACATCTATAGGACTTGCTGCCTAAAAACAAGAGCAGAAAGTTGCCCCAGAGATAGGAGGGACGTTTTGATGTTGTTCAGGGTAAGGATGCGCCGTGTCAGTAAAAGAAAATAGGTCCCATCCGCTCTCGGCCTGAACACATGGCTTGCAGACTAGATCCAGTGTATTTCCACTGAACTCTCTTCCAAGGGCTGTGTCATGTTTCCTAGCACCATCGAGGTGTGCTCAGATTTATTATTTTGGGCGAAAGGGCTTAAGGATTGTGTGCGTGTGTTTGGTTATTTTTTCACAAGTACGAAGGACCAAGTTCTCGCGTTTCGCGTAACGGTTGATCAGTTCTTATGTTGTTGTTTCGCACAACAAGCGTTCCTCGTCCCTTTGCAGACTTCTGAGGGACGCGCCCCGATCCCGAAGGTCTATAAGCCGAAGTACACACGGATTCAGTCCGATTTACAAAAGAGGGTGTTCCTCTTTCTGGGTCGGAGTTAAGGGCGAACTCCACAGATTAATCATGGAGCAGGAATACGTGGAAATACGTAGCAGGCAGTGCGATAGATCAGTCCAATATCCCTGCAAGGCTAGCGCAAGCCAAGGCTGCAATGCCTGGGTGCACGCTTTGCTTTCCTGCAATCCCCGGGGTTTTACTTTCGAGTAAACAACGCATGCATGAGATCAGCTTGCTCGTCAGTTTATATTAATTCAGCTCACAGAGTCTAACGATCCAGCTGCAGCATCAAGGTCGTTCTTTGGCGGGTTTCTATCTGATCTAGCTCACCACAACCATCGCCACCGCTGCCGCCAGCACCAAAAGTGAGCCCCGAGATCTTGATCCGCGGATCCGCGCTGGACTTGAATTCATATCGACCCGAGGTTTTAGGAGATCCCAACAGGGAAAGGAGAGAAAAAAGGGGGGTTTCCCGGCTAGAAGCAATACTGCTTAGGAGCGATCTGAAAGGTGCGTCTCTGCCAAAGAAGCCGCGTTTGAGTAGCCAAGGTTGGGCTTGCTGTCTTGTCAAAGCTGGTTTGGCTTTTCCGTATTCACCTTCTCACATCTTTTGATGACTTAAGCGTCTTCGTTATGGCTCTCAAGATCCGCTATCCCTGGAGCGCACTGGGGACACTGTTTTACTAGCCTGCAGAGTTTGTTTCTGTTAAAGGAGATAGCCAGGTCTTTGAAAACTGGTGGTCCTCGCGCAGAAAGAAGGAGCGCGCGGCAGTGAGTGTCGCCGAACGTGATGATGCTTTGGAACCGACTGGATTCCCCTAGATCAAAGGGCCAGAGGCTCCCGAGGTCGACAACTCCCTGCCGGGATAGCAACTAAATTCCCCCAGAGCCCCAACCCAGAGCATGCAGTCGATGCGGTCGAAAAGGTAGGACTCGCAACCCTCTTTGTCCTTCGCGCGCACTCTCTCTTGCATCTCACTTGCGGGTCGGGGCGAAGGAGGGCGGCATCGCGATCCTACGAATGCATTGCGAGGCGTGTGGGGCGGAGTGAACCGCGCAGGTTGTCAGCAGTAGCTTTGATGTCCCGTCCGACCATGCCGACTCTTTTTACCAGTGAGGGGCGGATCGGTGGTAGGCCAATTCCTTCGGCTGCGAAGACCCTTCAGCGTTGAAGGGCTCACTTCCGAGTGAACCTGCTTAGGGTCGGGGAATATCGTGCACACACGTGGGGATTAAGGCCTCCGGGATCCAGGGCGCCCTTCTTCTGAACAGACATCCCAGGTTAGCAGCCCCACTGAAATGACTGGGACTGAAGGTAGTTCTAAATAATTGGAAGCCCATCCATTTCCCATGGGAAATGGACAATGAATACATCTGACTGTTTACCCCTGCACATCTCATTAAGTTTCAGCGGAGTTTCCTTCCCAGGACACACTTGGTAGGAAGGAAGCCCTGCTGAACGCAGTGGGGTTTACTTCTTGAGGAAACAGGCCTAAAACGGCAGTGGAAAGCAAGACTTACTTCTGAGTAGATATGCCTTGCACCCCGCTTCTAAAACACTGTAGTAATAGAAGCCTCCCTGATTTTTATGTGGATGTGCAGAACTTCAGTCTTGCAGTATGAGCTTAACGATGCTTACTTGGCTGTAAGACCTTCTGATGTATTTATTATATTTATATCCCACTGGTTTTTTTTTTTAAAGAAATCAAAGTGGTTTACATCATTCTGCTTTCAATCTTATCCCTACAACAACAACCCTGTGAGGTAGATTGAACTGGTAATCTGTGACTGGCCCAAAGTCACCCAGTTGGCTCCATGTTTGAGTGGGGACTAGAACCCAGGTGGCCTGAGTCCCAGTCCTCTTAACCACTACACCACACTGGCTCTCAGAGATTGCCAAGTAAACTAAGCAGCTGAAATAAGATTCCATGGTTTCTCAGTTGCGTAGGTGGAAGAGCTGCTTCCAGGCAAAAAGGCGCTGGGTACCTTAGATGGGAAACGCCTGCATCAAAGTCCTTTTGATTTTATGAGCATGCCAACTATAGTATTCGGTAACAGAGGGGAAGGACTTTTCTAACTGGGAACTATGCCTACCTACCTGGCTCTTCTTGAACTCACTGTACTTACTTCTGAGTAGATCCACTTGGATGCCACTGTAAAGCAGGAAGATCGACTCCTTTATCTTCTACTGATCAATCTCCAGCCTTCCTTGTGAACCACAAAGAAAGCCCTTTTGACTAGCTAGGGACATAAAGAACCAAGCCATGGGGACCAGACATAAGGGTGCTTCCTGCCCAGTGGGGTGGTTTGTTATTGTTCCAGCGGAGGTTTATCATTGCCACGGGTGGGGGGAGCCTGCTGGCACCACTGCCCTCCAGATGTTTCGGACTACAACTCCCATCAGCCTGAGCCAACGTGCCAGACTCAGGGATGATAGGAGCTGCGTTCCAAGCAACTGGGCGACTCCGCTTGCCCGTCCCCCGCCTCGGGGAGCGTGAGGGATCGCGCCGGAGTCAACCCGGGCTCGGGCTGCGCAAGGGCACCAGCTGCGACGGCGCTGCCGCCGGGCTATTGTCTGCAGGCTGCGCGGGAGGGCGTGGGGAGGCCGCGCCGCGCTGCAAGAGGCGGGCAGGTTCTCCGGCTTCAGGAGCGCGCCAGAGAGGGGTCTCCGCGTGCTCCCGTCGCCCCCGATCCAGTTCCACCCAGGCAGGCGGAACGGGCATGTTTGGTCGCCATGGTTACGGCGGGCTTGCGCAACGGGCCGGATGACAGGCGAGCGGGCTCGCCGTGGACCAGCCTGAGCCCGCGAAGCGCGGCAGAGTGCATGCCGGGAGAGCGCGGCTCGTGCGGGGCAGCGCTTGCCGCGCGCGAGGGCTCCGCCGCTGGCCTGCCCGGGCGGCGAGGGGCCTTCCTCGCCGGGAGGGTCGCCTCCCTGCCCCGCGTCCTCCTGCCTCGGGCGGCGGCGGCGGCGCGTGCGCTGCTGCAGCACCAGCAGCCGCAGCAGCAGCAGCAGCAAAGCCCGCTTGGAGCTCGGCCTCGCGCGAGCCCGCCGAGCCTTCCTGCGCATTCCACGGTTTGGCAAACGCCGACCTCTGGTCCAGTATCAAATTCTTCTCAGGCGTACGATTTCACTTGAAGTCCTGCCCAGGAATCCTTCAAAGCGAGCGCTTGTCCCCCGCTCTCATGATGTCAGGCGGTTTTCCCTGCATCTCGCTCGCTCGCTCGCTCGCTCGCTCGCTCGCTCGCTCGCTCGCTCGCTCTCTCTCTCTCTCTCTCTCT